AACTTTGGTGGCAGCTCGCCCCTATACCCAAGTCTGTCGTACGGTTTGCACTTCAGCTTGCTGCCAGCCCTTTCCACAGTGCCATTCTGGCCGTGCCCCTCCTAGGTTCAGCCCAACATCCCCCGTTTTTTTTTTTCTTTTTTCTTTTTTCTTTTTCTTCTTAGATATCATCCCTAAGCTGACCGGCCCCGGGCAATTCAGAAATAGTTGGTCCTACAACTTTACTCATCACAATCCATCATCAGGATTCGAACACAGGTCTGTATTTTCTACAGTTCATGGGTATACTAACTGGGCTTGCTCAAGTGCTCATCCCACAGGACTGTTTTCGAACAGTCTGCAGGGGTACCAACCTGCGCTAGGCCCAGTGGCTGTGATCCCACAGACTTCTTTTCAACAGTTCGTGAGTGTACCACCTGAACCATGCTTGCAGGTGCTGGTTTCACAGCCCTGTTTTCAACAGGTCAYGGGTGTACCAACTGAGTTATGCCTGTAGGTGCTGATTTCACAGCCCTGTTTTCAACAGTTCACGGGTGTACCAGCTGAGTTATGCGTGCAGGTGCTGGTTTCACAGCCCTGTTTTCAAAAGTTCACGGGTGTACCAGCTGAGTTACTGCAGGTACAGATCCCACAGGACTGTTTTTCAACAGTCTGCAGGTGTACGAACTGAGGTAGGTCCGCAACTGCTGTTCCCACAAGCCTATTCACAGCAGTTTGCGGGTGTTCCAACTGGCTAGCGTAGGTGTTCATCCCACAAGACTGTTTTTCAACAGTCTGCGGGTGTACCAACTAAGCTTAGCTCATTGGCATTGGTCCCACATGACTGTTTTTCAACAGTTTGCGGGTGTACCAGCCGAGCTTGGCCCAATGGCAACGGTCCCGTAGGACTGTTCACCCTCAAACCTCTTACAGCAACACATGCTTGGCAGGTGGTGCACCCGCAGGTGCTGGTCCGGCCACTCAGGTTCCTTCCTCGTTGCGGGCTACACACCCACTACTCACATGCACGTTGAATTCCTCGGACCATGATTTTAAGATGGGGAAGATGGAGGAATTTTATCAGCATCTCGACCACGGACGAAGTCGAACGGACCTTCTGAAAGAGGCGTTTGCTCAAGGTTCTCGACTGCCGTGACGGCCACTCGTGGGGAGGTGTTTCAATCGCTCCCTACTATAATGCCGGTCACAACAGCCTATGCTGGCATGCACCTCACATACCGTCAAGGAGGACGGTGATGCAGTCGCCTTCTATCCCCGTTGAGTGGGGATAGACGACTTTTCTCCTCCCGCTTCGTCGCTCAACAATCTTCAAACATTCTTTAACTCTCTTTTGAAGTTCTTTTCATCCGCCCTCGCGGTATTTCTTCGTCATCGTTCCCAGAGCTAGTTCCCGGCCTGGTCAACAGACGGAAAATTGGGAAAAAATAAAAATAAAAATAAATCAACAAAATAAAAATAGTGGAATTGAAGAGGACGAGGACCTGTCGATGCCCTCTTGGTCTTGCCAGTCGAACCCAAGCTTGGGCCCGTCTAACAAAACCAAGGGGGATAGTCCCTTAAGACCCTCGACCCCTCAGTCCCTGTTGGTCGCGTTCCCTTGCTCCATCGCCACTTGCTGACCTCGAACCCCAAACCTGTCGCTTGAAAGTCCAGAATCGTAACCATTAGAACTAGGCCGAAGGCTGAGCCAGGTAGGTGTGAACCTGCGTATGAATAGTCGTGGGACCGTGATTGGTCATACCCGTACAAACCAGGCCTCCACCTTGGCCTACCGGCCAACCTCCTGGCCGTCAGAAGACGCCGAGACGTCGCCCACGCCTAGGATCGTAACTGCCTGGTATCCTGGTCGTCGGGCGCTCGACATATGTTGTCAAACTTTCGACTTTCCCCCATACTAGGTTTGCCAACGCCTCGCCTTTCCGTGTGTCACCAAACACACTCTTCCTGCGTGTGCGCAAGGTAAAGCTTTTATCCTCTTCGCGCCGTATCCCCCCAGAGACCGAACTAGTTGCGAAGTAAATGTAGTCTTTATAAAACAAAAGAAAAATATAATCAACAATAAAAGTTACAGAAGGGAGAGTAATCGGGCCCTACGGCTTTGGCGCCATTTCGCCAGCTTAGGATTGCCGATGACTAACGGCTATCTCACCGTGCAACGCAATAATGAGTGCCCCACACACCGTGCAACGCAATAATGAGGGCCCTACGGCTTTGGCGCCATTTCGCCAGCCTAGGTGAGCGACCTAACAGGGTTCGCCCCATCAACGCATTACGTTAATCAAGGACGCCCCTAGTGCGACCTTTAAAAAGGACGGCAAATACCCTTGTAAGGGTGTTTGCCACGATACCGTCACTTCGACACTTCGTCGAATGTGGACGAGGTAGAGACTGCGTCGGCCCCCCCACGTCCGCTCCGTCCTTGGATCGCCATCGCCCCGCCCTGCCATCCATCGGTACAGGTGAGTCTTCCTCCTCTTCCTTCTTCTTCTTCTTACTATCTTCTTCTTCTTCTTCTTCTTCTTCTTCTTCTTCTTCTTCTTCTATTTCTATTTCTTGTTCTTCTTACTATCTTTTTCTTCTTCCTCTGGCACAGCCCAAGTTTCCAAAATCTCATAGAGCGAGAGCGAGAGAGAGAGAGAGAGAGATTGTGCAGAAAAAACAACCGCAGTTTGAAGTCCGGAGTAGGCATGGACCCAAGGGAGGGGTAGAGGGGCAGCTGCACAACGAGAACGAGTCGAAGAGGAAGAGGAAGAGGAAGAGATTCATGGATGAGAGGGAGATTCAACTAAACGAGAGACAAGGAGCCGAGATGCATGAAAGCGACAAGGGGTAACAGGGAGGTCCGTAGAAAAGAGAAATAAAAATTCAAAAAAA